TGGCCTCCTTTGCCACCTGGGCACTGCTGGCTCCTGGTGCTTCTCTGCTCAACTTCAACCACGTTCACCTGTACAAAACTCTCTAATCCTCTGTCTTTTCCAAGTCCAGGCCTCCTGTATTTTAGCAGGTATGTATTTTTAAGTCATGCACTTGCCAGCATGAGGGGTGCCCTCATTCCTGGGGATCCATTGGGAAAGGGCAGTGTCAGGAGGAAGGAGCCAGGCTCTGCTCTGGGATGGCCAATGCCAGGACAAGGGGCAATGGTCCCAAGCTGGAGCACAGGAGGTTCAAGCTGAAGATGAGGCCAAAGTTTGTGAGTGTGAGGGTTCTGGAGCATGGCCCAGGCTGCCCAGAGAGGTTGTGGAGTCTCCTTGTGTGGAGACACCCAAAGCCCTGGCCGTGTTCCTGTGTGACTGCTCTGGTGATCCTGCTGTGGGGAGGTTGCACTGGGGGAGCTTTCCAGGTCCCTTCCAGCTCCTGGCATGCTGGGAATCCCTGATGAGTTCATTAAAAAAAAATAATAAAATCCTAATCTTAGCAATTATGAAAAAAACTGATGCATAAGCAGAGACAACTAATTTATTCAAGTGCACACGTACCCCAAATCTATATAGTTCTATCATCAACTCCTCTTAACAGTTTTTAAAACAACATGTGTCTTACCTCCTGGTCATCAGTATTACTCGAACACCGAAGCAGCGTAGCCCACCCTTTGGGATGCAGCTGTAGCGATGTGATGCAGTTGCCTCTATCTCTTTCTCCAGGAACCTCTGGTGTTAAGACCTCCAAACTATTTCTCGGTGACCCACCTAGAAGGGGAAGTCAGCCGTAAGTTTCAGTGAAGTCTGTGCACTGATCCTCCGCGCTCTCATCAGCCTGCTGCTGAAAACAGGTCAGACATGCAATGCTTGAGCCTGCTCGGAGAGACTGCACCTTTACCCAGGGGGAACTCAGAAGAGAGGTTACACAAACGACTGAAGCCAATGCCAACGGGCTCAGTCTTGATTTCAAATAGCTGCTGTTCTGAAATGTGCCTTCCAAGACCTGCATTAAACCACTTCATACTGTAAACTAAGTCAGAGCTAACAGGCCACATATACAACTCTTCATTATCATTAAAACAAAGCCTAGAGAATGTGGGTTTTTTGAGAGAACTACTGGTTCTTAAACTTGCGCGGTGTCCTTCCCAAATTCCTTCCAAAGCCTTATTTTAAATTGCATGTGATTCACAAAGGATTTAACGATTTGCCAAGTCCACACCAAGTCCCTGAAAGTGCCTCCGGGATTCAAAGGGATCCTGCTAATGTCAGGATCATCAGTTTCCATAGCTCTGCAGTCAGGTAGGACTTGGTTTGTAATCAGAATTTCACAGTTCTGTCCACACTTAAGGTCTATTTGCAAACTTCTGTTCCATGCTATCGACCCCACATGGAGGAACTGCGGATATGTACACCCATCATGAAGGGAACAATAAAGCCAAACATAGCCGTGTTCTGCTTTCTTCTTCCCCTCCTTTTCCTCTTAAAGATCACTCACACAAACTGAGGAAAAAACGCAAGGAAAATGGAGAACCTGTATATAACAACAATAACGTACTCATAAAATAAAGATCTTGTTGCTGTTACCAGACTTCTTGTAAAAAATTCTGATGAGATCCCCAGATTTTGGCACACAGTGATGTTTTACTGGTCTAACGGAAGTCGTAGCAACGTTATTCTTTCAAAAGTCAGAGGCAAAAATTCAGTTCTTCGCTGTTACACCCCAGCCTATTCTGGATACAACGACCAAAAGTCCACAGTTTTTCATTTAGAATCTTTCCTACCTTCTCGCTGGGAGGACCGTGACATGTGTTTCTCAGACAGCGGACACGAATCATACTGGTGACACGGCGAACTGAAAGTCCGAGGACCGGAGGAACCCGATGACGTTATGTCTGCAAACAGCACCAGCCCCATGAACAGGACAGCCAAGCGCAGCCCGCGTCCCTCCCGCACCCCCTCGGACATGTCAGGTACAGGGCAACCCACCCCGTTACAGCAGCCTGCAAGTACCATTCTGCTTGTGCCTCCCACAGAGAACCAGCCAACACAACAAACTCTACTGGGAGTGAGAGGAAAGCTGCCCGCCTGCCTTCACAGGCACTGTCACTGCCAGGAGCCGGGGCATGGATTTTTCCCCAGGCCACTCCCGTTGTATCTGTACATCCTAAATGTCTGTCGCTGTTTAGCTCTGTGTCTGCAAAAAGCAGGAGAAAGCAGGCAGTAAAACCCCAGAGCTCGCAGTTCTTCCAGGTCTACAGCCCCTGTCAGCAGCTGCTGCAGCTCACACCCATCAGCCCACTCAACTGGGCTCAGGTTCTCGTTACAGGTCCAAGGACAGCAGGCAGGTAAAGCCAGAGACTGCCAGCCTGAAGTGACAGCATTCGACAGGCACTTCATCCTGCAGTGCTGGTCTTGATACCAGAGATCACCTCGGACAGGTCAGAACACATCGCTCGGCAGCACAGACCCGTGTGACCCTGGACAGCAGAGCAGCTACCATGCTGAAACGCTCCCGACTCCCCCTCTGCCTTCTTTTGCCAGCCAAGAGCATCCCATAGAACACCTCTAACAAAGAAACTGCCAGGCTATTCCACAAGCATTCACCTGAACTTGACGTAGTCCTCCTGGCTCTTAAAATTGGGTAGCTGCCAACCTCTAAAGACTTGTTTAGGTCCAGATCGTGCAAAATCAGAAGATATCCAGAGGAGGTGGAGATCAACATTTTGGAACAGTCTGGCGTCAGCCTCATTCGCATAAGGAAACGGGTGTGAAAAAACTTCTTGTGGGGACATCCATCTTCCGTGCACCTGGGTGGCGAAAGAAGCACAAGAAATGTCTGCAGTCAACTTTGACCCAAGTCCCTAATAACGTCCAGAAGAGTCCAAACCGTGCTAAGCATCCTTGTTCATCCTAGAACTTCGAGCACGGTCTTTATCCCATTAAATCAGATTTTGATCAAGTGGCAGCAGTCACATCTTCATACTACCACAGTAATGAAGGTGGGACTTTTACAAAGAGGAAAAACTACATTTTGGCATGTCAGCAAGAAAAGCTCTCTTTCCAGCTTCTGGACTAAAACCGTTACAAAGGTGATTCAATGATAAGGGCTATAAACTAATTAAGAATGCATTATAGCACCATTCAAGCAGGTTTTTCCATCTTGCACAGAAGAACCTGACCCTGGCGTGTTCTGGAAACGCACCGGCACGGCCACGTACCGGTTTGTGTCCCAGATGATGACGTTTCCGTCGAACCCCGACGTCACGAGTAACCTGGTGTTGGTGTCGTACTCGATGTTCTTGACCCAGCTGGTGTGACCGTGCAAGGTGCACACTTTTGTGTTCAGCTTTCTCAGATCCCAAAGTGCTATGGTGGTGTCATCGGAGCAAGTGGCAAACAGTCGATTATCCAGAAACCTGGGAACGGGAGAGAAACACTGTGGCTGCTCAGTGCCTTCTCTAACTTAAATATGCTTAAGCAGGAATATAAGCTAACACAGAAATAAATAAATAGAGTAGCCACACCAAAAAAAAATCACATAGAGCAGAATATTTGCCAGTGAACCAGTTCCATTTAAAACCAGTCCTGCTGGGAATGAATCCCCAGCACACCTGCAGTAGCAAAGCAGTAAACCTGTAGTAGCATAGGTGTTTTTTGTAGTGACTCACGTAAAGATCACACAGCCACCAAACCACCGGTGGGACAAGTGCTCGCACAGAACCCCCGTGGTAACCCAGTCACCCTCTGGGCAATGCTCAGCCTCACACTGACCAAGTCTTTGTAAGACACAGATGTCCAAGGGCTGATCAGCTGCTGGACCACTGGCAAGATACTCCCACTGACTTGTTTTGCATTTATGGTTTTCATCTCCCCTATTTTTGCCAGATCCTTTTGCTACCACGGAGAGGCAGCAGCAGAATACAGAGCAGTTCTGGCTTCATTTCACGGACTCACAGCCTGGTTTGGGTTGAAGGGACCTCACAGCCCCCCAGTCCAGCCCCCGTGGGCAGGGACACCTCCACCAGCCCAGGCTGCTCCAACCTGGCCTTGGGCACTGCCAGGCTACACAAGAACCTATCGGCTCATGATTGACTAAACCCATGCCAGTTCTGTTCTTGACTCTCTCCATTTCTACACACATACCCACTCATTCTGTAAATCTTCCTCTCTTCCCCACTGCAGACACAAGCTCCCTGCGCTCAAAAACCAAACCAAACAACTTCTTTGTTTAACGGCTGCAAGAGCAGCCAGCCCACTGCTCTGTATTTCACAGGCATTTGCAGACCCGCGGTTCACTTTCATGCAGCAGTGAGCCCGTATCACGCACGCAGCGCTCCGTACGCTGCGCCTGTGCTGCGCTTGGCAGGCCTGGGCCCCTGCTTCCTTAACAGGCTCACGCCGATGTCGCACTGGGAGAAGATGAGAAAGTGGAAAAGAATATGGGTCTCACTGGTTGGATTACAGCACTGATCAGCTTAAGTACTCAGCCTGTCCGAATGGGAACTCTTTACCATGATAATCTCCGGCCTTCAGCCAAAATTCAGTGCATGCATCGCTCTGGCTTGAAGCAGCATGAGGCAGCTCGGGCACCTTCAATAGATTACAGAAGGAAAGAATATCTGGTGTAAAGATATTCCAGACAGAAGGGCTGGAATCAGCACTAAAAGGGTGTAGTGAGGCAATAAACTGAACAAATCCAGTCTAGAGGTCACTGAAGCAAATGCAAGACTGTTCAGAAACACCAAGTGAAGACAAGACTTTGGAAGCACACTTGGGGAAGTTACTTGGCTCACTGAGAAAAGCCTCCGGATAAAGTGACTTTGTTTGCATCACACAGATCAAAGTTTATCATATTGCACTCCCATTGCAATTTACGCCTGCCCTTACTTTTAGAAGGGTAAAATACACTGGTTTACGCTTGGACTTCACACCTGATGAAGGCATTTGGGAAAAAATGCCCTACTTGATGTAAAAGGGAAAACAAAGCCCACCCAAAAAAACACCAGAAGCAGCTGCACACCAATACCAAGGCAAAAACAGTCGGCACAAGTAACCCCTAGAAACAGCATTTTATCTTTTAGACTTGAAACCAGGGCACATCACGTAAAAACGGCAACAACCCCAATGCAAAATAACCAAACATAATGGGAAGAATCCAACATTTCGGGTTTTCAGGGTGAAATCAAAGCAGAGCAAATCTCTTGCCTGCACAAGTCCATTATTTGCCTTTATCTTGGGTGCCACAGGATCCCTGCTTCACCCACCACTGCAGGTTTCAGAAGAAATTCAAGGGCATCGGATCCATTTCGTCCGGGTAACGACCACGCAGACTACGACTCACGTGGAAAACGGGTAAGTGAAGGTGCAAGTGAGTCGGGCACAGAACACTGACTGACAGAGAAAGCCAACGGAGATTGATTGTTCCTTGTCTTCCTTAAGAAAGTGAGGAGACGAGATGGCTTCAAACTACGCCAGCAAGTTTTGAAGACGCTGTTAAAGACTCCTTGAGGCACATTCGCACCATGGAGCTCTGCCATGGGAGAGTTTTAAGTAAGGTCTAAACCTGACCAAATTCAGGTGGAAATAAATGCCTGCTTCAGATAGGCGCACACATCCCCCACTGCTGGGAGAGGACCACTGCACACCTCTGTTCACATGAACCCCTCAGGAACCTGCTGCAGGGCACAGCGGCAACAGCGTTTACTTCTGCTGCTTGCCACAAGGAACTTCTGCAGCGCCGCAGCGCCCAGCGTCCTGCTCAGTGAGCAGAAACAATACCCCAGGCGCTGCTGCACTAACCACGAGGTACAGAACATCGTCACGTTCCTTGTAACCGACTCTGACAACAAACAAATGGGGGCGTGCAGGAAAACACAGGAAAATACGCCAACACCAAGACAAAATAGAGCTTTATAAAGCATTTCAAAGGGAAGCAGTGTTGCTAGGAAGGACTTCAGTCAGGTGGCGAACAGCAGATCCGAGAGATCCCTGCTTAGAGGTAGCACCAGTATCTGTATGTATGTCAAACTACAGAGAGGAAAGCCATTTAAGGACCAAGAACAGGCTTGCAAAACCTCACAGATGCCTGAAGGGGCGAGGAAGGAGATCCTCTGGGCAGCAGAAAAGAGACCAGCGCAGCCGAACGCAGGACGCAAGGAGCCTGCAACGGAGCCCAGCAAGGGCAGTGTGGACGTCGGGGTCAGGAGCCGAGTGAGGGACGTATACAAACCAAAATAAATCCCTTTCGCCTTTGCCCTCCGGTACCTCGATAGCACGGTGTTATTTCTCGCCTGGCGTGTTTAAAGGACAGCCACCGTCAGGCAGGACATGCGAAAAGCTGTGCTGCCCTAGGGAAAAGCCTGCTCCCAACAGCCACTCTTCCTTGTGTCACCGGGCCCCAGCGCTCACCTCAGCTTTTCCAAAAGGAACCCAACCGATGTGAAACCTCAGCCTCTTCTGGAAAGGACGGGCAGCTTGTGAGAAGTGCCAGTTTGGCAGAGGAACGTGTGAAGGCACCGGCACCACACACTTCGTTCAGGTCTTCTGAGGGGAAATGCTGAGACTGGTTCTACAGGGGGTTTATTTTTGGAGGGGGGGCGGTTTGGGCTTAGTTTCTGAGTTTTGTTTTGGTTTCTTTTGGGGTTTTTTGGGGGATTCTGAGTGAAGAGAGACTGCGATATCCTCCACAAGGTTAAAAACTGTCTTAAGTTCACTTGTCAAAGTCTAACCTCAGACCCAGAACAGCCAAAAATAACAGAAGTTATATGTATATGTACATGACAAAAGTGCTGATGATTTAGGTTTCCGCACTTGCTATTTCCCCACTGCATCCTGAGAAAGAGTCGACGGATTTAAATTATGAAGACCGAGTTTAAGTTAAACTGTGGAAGCCATTCCACCTTCCCAGCACTTCCACATCATCCTCGTCTTTAAAGCAGCAAACCTCTCCATGGAAATTTCTATGCCACTACGGCAATTACTCTTACTATTCAAAACACCACCCACATTCACATAAAAATCTGATCTGGCTTCGGGATCGGACCTGCACATCAAACATAAATCACACGTCCCTGTTACGCTCCGCTGTGCCGCGCTCACTCGGGGCACCCCAAAGGCAACAAAGCCCAGCGCTCTTCCCCTCCCAAAACTGCAGCTCCTCCACCCACAAAGCCGCCTGCAGCATCAGGTACCACCACCACCGCTCTCCCAATCCTCCTCTCCCCCTTTCCAGCGTTTCCCCACCTCCAAAGAGGGGGAAAACAGCACAAAGCGATCGCAGCCTCCACGAAACCCACGCACACAGGACAGCACCCAACGCAAACCGAACACAGCAAAAATATTCCTTCTGACCCACCTGATGTTATTGACGCAGTCTTCATGAGCTTCAGAGAGGGTTTTGATGTGCTTTGAAGATATGGGGTCAAAAAGCAGTACTTCAGTCTGTTCGCAAGCTACAGTCAGCACTGACCTGCAGGGGAGCAGAGCAAAGCAAAGCAGAAATGCGTGAATTCACAGAACCACAGCGTCCCAGGATGTCAGGAGTGGGAAGGGCCCT